CCCCCCCCCCCCCCCCCCCCCCCCCCCGCCCCCCCCCGGCCTCACCGGGGCCTCACCCGCGTCCCTGCTGCACTGTTCGCACCTCCCCAGCCGCCCCCACGCCGGGGTGTCTGAAGCTTTCCTCATGCAACGCTTACACGTTTCTGGAAAACCCACAGATGGTCGGAAAATCGCCAACAAGAGCCGCGCACTGGCACCTGTCCTGAGGCCGGCAGGTGTCAGGGGCCGAGGAGGGCAGCGGCCAGCGGAGCCACGAGCGTCCACCCGCGCGCAGCTACCCCGTCCCGGAACTGACCCCGACCACGGGCCTCTGACAACGCGAACAGGACCAGGCACCGGGTCACCCCCGGCCGGGCCGTCACAGACGGGACAGAAGCCCGACGCCCGAGCACCAGAGGCGCAGGCACCGCCGTCTACAAGCACCACCGGGACCGGCCGCGGCTGGCTCCGCCGCGGGCGGGCAGCCCTGGAACAGCGCGGCGAAGACGGGAAAGGGGCGGCCCCGGCACGGCGGAGATGCTAGAACCTGGTTGTTTTACGGAATCATAAGCGAGCGAGACAAGCGCGGGACGGAAAAGGCAAACGTGCTGACCTGAGCCGGCCTCAGGCGGGGCCAGACCTGCGCACCCGCCTCTCGCCCCGGCCTCGGCTGCCGTCCGCGAGCCCCGGTGCCGCGGCCGGGCTGAAACCACCGGCCGCCGCGGAGGGAGACGAGTGTGCGGTGGGGCCGGGGTCCTCACGGCGCGACCAGAGGCGGCCGACACCGAACGAGGGAGGCCGGGAAGTCCCGGGGCAACGACTGAAGGAGACACGGTGTCCGCTCACACCAACCACCTCTCCGCCTCACACAGAGTTCACCGCCTCATCCGCTGAAGGGACCGGGGGAGTGACCCCCAGGTAGCAACGAGGACCCCTGTCTGGGTTTCCAAGTACCAGTGACGGGTACCAGGAAGGGTGGCTGATTCCAGGGCCAGGTCAGGGGACGTGGGGGCACCGGGCGCCGGCGGCTCCACAAGTCAAGTGGTGATCGGGAAAATGATGGCCACCTGCCCACGGACAGAAACGCCTCAGAGAGGCTCCCACTTGCTAGGTCTGGGACAATCCGAACATCAGAATTACTCACTGGCCTGTACTCCGTGCCCACCACGACTCAAGGCTCTGGGAGCCCGCACTGGGGAAACAGAAGGGAGCGGGCAGCCTCTCCCTGCAGACGGAGGCCAACTCAACACTGCGGGACAGACGGTCACCGCTCTCAGCACCCGACGGCGGGACTGACCCAGGCAGGGTCTATCCAGATTTACGCAAACACCGAGTGGAAGTCTGAGAAGAAACATGGCATTTATAGACTCAAAATAACTCTCCACAGATTTCCTATCAGTTATGAGGGGAGACGGAAGTTCACACTGAAGAACCTGACGAACAAAACTTGACCAAGTTTCCTGTCAGCCGGAAGCGTCCTGTGACACCACACGCCTCCCAGCAGCGCACACCGAGCAGACACAGCACCTGCTGCGTAGCATTCCGGCCAAAAACGCAAGGCTTGAATCTAATCATGGGACCTAACACAAACATGACGTGTGAGACAGTAAAGGTTTGTTTCAGAGAAACAGGACAGAGAAGACTGTGCCAGCGAGAGTTTTCTTCCGGGGGAGAAGCCACTCTGGGGACTAGGACGACGGAGAACACAGTTACTGCCGTTAACAGCACACGGGTCTCTGCGACGCAGTAAGACAGAGCAGTGCTGGGGCTCGTGGGTGGCTCGGGCCGCTGGGCGTCCGGCTCTTGATTTCGGCTCCGGTCATGATCCTAGGTTGTGAGATCGAGCCCCACACAGGGTTCTGCGCCAACCGTGGAGCCTGCTTAGGATTCTCTCTCTCCCTCTCCCTCTTTTCCTCCCCATTCTCTTTCTCTCGTGCGTGCATGTGCGCACACGTGCACTAAAAAAATAAAAAGTTAATTAAAAAAAGGAAAGACAAAGTCACTGCCAAGAAGGTGGGTAACCGAACATTCATGGCAAAGCACACCACGTAAACCCGAGAGAATTCATGACCCGCTAGGGCACCCGGTGAGAAACGCCACCATCTTGGAAGTACCGTAACACTCGTGCTCCGCCCGGCACAATCACAGCACGCGTGTGTCTGCCGCACCCGTGTTCTCACGCCGCTTTTGTTCAGTCCATCTGCTGGGACACCTGCCGGTTTCCTTCCTCCAAAACACACACACAAGACATCCAAGCTGATGGAAGAACGGTCTGGGAGACTAACCCTAGATCCACCAGAGGACTGAAGTCACAGGATAAAATGCCACCCTGAGCTCTGAAACAGGTGGACACGGCCCCCGCTAGGTAAGCTGGTGTGACGCCACACGGTCGTCCTGGCAAACTGCGGCAGGCTGAGTGTGCGCCAGCTTCAAAGTGGGAAACTCCCGGAAGCCCAGGATTAAGGGAAGCCCCACAGTTCTGTGGCTTTTGTATCTAGAAACCCCATCAGGTTCTCAGGATGAAGATCCCAGAAATATCCTTTCACGTTGCAGGCAATGGGGGGGAGAAAGTAACCGTTTTTAAATACTCCCAGAACGTCCTGCACGAAAGGCCAGTGCCCCCAGGGAAACCGCTGCATTGGAGCCTGATCGGAGTTGTGGGAAGACCCTCTCCAGTCCCCTCCAGCCTAAAGGGCGAAAGAAAGGGCCACAACAGAAGAACTAAGCCCACTGAAGACTGGCCCGAATGGTAACATCACAGAGCACTTCTTCTCCGCAACAGCTGACCGCACGACGGGGCTCCAGAAGGTAACAGTGACTTAAGGCTTTGAAAGAACATTCCGTGTGAGACAGAATCTACGGGAGGAAGAGCGCTTAAAGAAACAAAGACCCCAGGGGAGAAGAAAATCCAGGGAACTAGAAGAAACCAAACCCCTGGCACCAGCAACAGCAAATGGAACTCCCGCCCAGATAACACACACCCTCACACTAAAGGCTGACTTGCCTTGGTTCCTCTTAACAGACACTACACTCTGGCTTTAACCAAAATGACGGGGCATGCGAAAAGCTAAGAAAAAAATCCATCTCTAGAGACAAAGCAAGCCTGAGAACCAGACAGAGGTGTGACACACATTATGGAAACTAAAGCTCAAGGTTCCATAGCCAGTAAGTGCTGCAGCCAGAATTTAAAACTTTTATTTATTTACTTGACACAGAGAGAGAGGGAGAGAAAAATTGTTTTATTTATTTGACACACAAGCAGGGGGAGCAGCAGGAAGGAGGAAAGGGAGAAGCAGGCTCCTCACTGAGCGGGGAGCCCGATGCGATCATGACCTAAGCCGAAGGCAGACTCTTAACCAACTGAGCCACCCAGGCGTCCCAAGAAACCCACTTTAAAACAAAGACACAAATGAGTTAAAAGCAAACTTTTAGAGAAAGAAACACCATGTTAACAGTAATCAAAAGGAAGCTCAGGGAGCTACATTAATTTCAGACAATGCAGACTTCAGAACAAGGAAAATCATCAGGGATAAGGATGGGTATCATGGAATGACAAAACGGTCCAATCTCTAAGAGGACATGAAAAATCTCGACACGTATGCACCTAACAATAGACATCAAAATACACGAGGCAAAAAGTAACAGGAGGAGAAGAACACATGAATCCACTATTTTAGTCGGAGATTTCAACACCACCCATCAACAGACAAGTTCAGTTAGCAGAAAATCAGAAAGGAGTAGCTGCTGAGGAGCACCGGCAGTCGACATCCGTGGAGGGAGTCACCCAGCAACGGCAGACACACTCTTCTCAAGCCTGCACGGTGGCTTCACTAAGATAAACTGTGCTCTGGCCCATGAAGTAGCCTCAGTATATTTCCAAGGACTCAAGTCTCACGAAATATATTCTCTGATTACAGTGGAATTAAATTGGAGGGCAAGAAAAGTCAAGTCTCTGGAAAAGTCCCCATATAATTGGAAACTAACACAGATCAAAAAACCCACAGAGGTCAAAGAAATCAAAAAGGAAATTAATTTGGAAGTATTCTGAACTGAATGAAAATGAAAATCATTTGAAATTTGTGTGACGGCTCTAGAGAAGTACTTGGAGGAAATCGACAGCACTGAACACCTATGTTAACAAAAGAAGGCTGCAAGTCCATGACCTCAGCAACCACGTTAAGGGATTAGAAAAAGTACGGCTCAGTCAGGGGAGCTTCTAACTCCTGACTGCTGCTCAGGCTGTGATCTCAGGGTCCTGAGATCGAGCCCCGCGTCTGGCTTCCTTCTCGGTAGGGGGCCTGCTCGGGACTCTCTCTTCCTTGCCCTCTACTCCTCCTCCCTCCACCTGCATGCTCTCTCAAATAAATAATTAAATCTTTAAAAAAAGGAAAAAGAAAAAACAAGGAGAAGCCTGTGTTTAATAGGAGTGAATGTAACAATTCCCTTCTTCAACGAATTTAGAGCTCCCTTACCTTGTCTTCATAATTTGGCAGTTTATCCTTGCATATGGTTATTATGTCCATCCAGCAGTAGTTTCTCTCTTGTCGGATCTTTTCTAATTCTGGATCATTCTCATATTTGTCAGCATCCAACTATTCGAGTTACAACAAAAAAAAAGGAGGTCACGTTAATGCAAACAAAGAAATGTTCTCTTACTGGATTTCCAGTATGATTCCACTCTAAATTTATCATCCAGTCCTCTGTCAACTGCAAACTAACCTTCCTTCCCCTCCTCTCCCCATTCTCTGTCACAGCTAAGGACAGTGCAGTTGTACTTAATTCCTGCCTCCTTCTCCCTGGCAGTTCTTCCTGGGGGATCCTACATTCGCATTCTAGTCCCACTTCCAGAGGCCCAGGTGAAGCACCCATGACCAGGCCTGTCCAAGGTCACCAACCCCACCTCCACCCCAGTCCTGCTCCTGCAGCACAAATCCTCTGCAGGTCTCTGACCTCTCTGTGACATCTCTTTAGTCAGCTGTTCCCTGGGCTGGATGCTCTGGAAGCCTATAAATAATACCCAAGTTCATTACACCGGGATGAGAGCGCTTCCATCATGTGGCCCCAGTTGCCTTTTCTACTCCTCTGTCCCTATCACCTGTTTAAAAAAACAAACAAAAACTTCATTCTAAACCAAGCAAAATTATTTGCTCCAAAAGAATCTTCACATCCCCACACCCTTGCTCCTGACAGCTTCCTACACCCAGAAAGCTCCTTCATCATCGTCATTCATCACAACCCTATCTACTCAAGGTCCCATTCTGAGTTGAAGGCAGACACTTAGCGACCGAGCCACCCAGGCACCCCTCAGGGTCCCATTCTAACACGTCTGTGACGAAGCACTCGCCAGGAGCCCAGCCAGAGTTAATCTCACTCCTACTTCAAACTACTGGCAATGAAATGAGCTCACCTTGCATTACTATGTGGCTATAAAATGCACATTTTACCACAACTCCTGAACGGCAAACTCTAGAATATCTTAAACTACTAGTCATCAACACGTTATTTTCTACAAAGATGCCTCCCCAAAAGCTATGAAACCCACCTCGGGATACGCACAGGACTGCCCCACACTAAAACCATCTATCAGTCTGCTGTGTCCCTAATAACAGACGCGCAAAAATTCTCCATCTGTTCCCACTGATCGAGAACAGCTATTATGAAGGAAGTATATAAAAATACACAGGACACAAAACCCAGAGAGTAAACATCATTTACTTATTTATGTTTAAGCATACTTCATGCCACACACAGGGCTTGAACTCATGACCCTGAGATGGAGACTTGGAGGCTCTGCCGACTGGGCCGGCCGGGCGCCCTGACTTATTCAGAGCAGAACTAGAAGGCCGGAGGAACTGGGTCTGACCCCGCGGAGAAACTGGAAGATGCCCTTTAAAAGGTGGTATTTTATCCTTTGGATACATTCACAAGTTGACCAAGATCTCATTCTGCAAAAAGAACGAAATCCCCAAAGCACCATAAGTTAACTGTTTAGTTCCAGAGAAACTGACTTTGTGATACAACAGAACGTATTTCCCGGTCACAACAGGCACGACGGACCACCGGGCCGCCTCAGAGATGGTCCCTGCCCGCAGGGACCTGTTCGGTCTTGGCCTGGAGAGAAATAATCCGTAAAAACCAACGCGGCCCCAAAGCAGAGCGTTCTGTGGAGGCGCCGTCTTGGGGGCCAGGAGGCTGCCCGGCCTCAGGACCGCCCAGCACCGCAAGCAGGAGCCCGGCGGGGAGCGTTCACTGCGGACCTGCCCGACGGCCTCACGGCAGGTGGACAAGGGCGGGTGGACGCCGCAGCCCTGCCGCGGACACGCCACGACTGCCGGGCTGGTTACCGTGGCACACCCCACGGCACCCCCACTGTTTTTCTCTTATGATTTTATTTACTCCGGGCACAGAGCGCGGGGGGCGGGGGTGCCTCAGTGGGTGAAGCCTCTCCGCTGCCTTCAGCTCAGGTCATGATCTCGGTGTCCTGGGATCGAGTCCCTCATCCGGCTCTCTGCTCAGTGGGGAGCCTGCGTCGACCCCCCTCTACTTGTGATCTCTGTCTGTCAAATAAATAACATCTTTAGAGGAAAGTATTTTTATTCGCTCCCTGGTCAGAAACGACCGGGGCACACAGGCAGGTGGGGGCGGAGGGAGAAGCTGCTCCCCCGGTGGAGGGAGCGGGTGTGGGCGACCCCCGCACCCGGATCACGCCCCGCGCCCCCGGCGCACGCCCGCACTCTTGACTTGACGGAGCAGCCGGTCAGCTGACTGGGGGACCCGCCTGCGGCCCCGTGCGCTCCGCGGACACCGACAGCCGCTCCCGGAGCTTCCTGAACGCGCCCGGTCCTGCCAGCGAGTGACTGGCCCCGCGCTCAGTGCAGACGTTCCATTTACTTGAAACAGCATGCGGGGCACGAGCGGGGCACGAGCGGGGCACGAGCGGGGCAGAGGGGGAGGCATGGGGAGGGGGAGGGGCAGCCGAGTCCCCCGCCCCCGGTTGTCGGCGGGAGCGCGCTCCGAGCCTCCCCGGCAAACCGCAGCGCGTCCCCGCGCCCTCGCACGCGCACGAGCGGACGGCCCCCGGGCTCGGGGGCCGGGACCCTGCAGCCCGCGGAGGGGAGGGCGGCCCCACGCTCGGACACCCGCCCCCTGCACCGCTGCGCGCGCCCGCCCCAGGGAGCGCCCCTGCCGCCTGCGCAGGACGCCGGCGCGCCACACGGGGCCCCGCACACTGCCCCCAGGCAGCCTGTCCCCGGCCTCCCGCCCGTGCGGTCCACTAACAGCGCACCCGGCGCGCCCCGGCGGCCCACAGAGACCACCCCGAGCCCACCCGGACTGCCCAACGGCGGCCCTCGACCGTCCGCGGAGCGCGCGCACGGCGCGCCCACCGCCTAAAGCTCGGCCAGCGCAGAGGGAACCGGGGTCGGACCACCCGGCCTTCCTACTGCGCATGCACGCCGCTCCCAGGTCGCGATTCCCGGCGCCGCTACTGAGCATGCGCACCGCTCCCAGGTCGCGATTCCCGGCGCCGCTACTGAGCATGCGCAGGATGCCCCCGGCGCCAGCGACCAACCGGCACCCCCTACTGAGTATGCGCAGTGGTCCCAGGTCGCGATTCTCGGCGCCGCTACTGAGCATGCGTACCGCCCCCAGGTCGCGATTCCCGGCGCCGCTACTGAGCAGGTGCCGCATGCCCCGGGCGCCGCCAACCACCAGGGTTCCCCCGTTACTGAGCATGAGCAGACCCTCTCCCTACAACCGCCGGCCCAGTCCCCACTCGCTGCAAGCTGGGGTGTGCAGGGAGCTCGGGGCACCACATGGGGGGCCCGCCCCCGCCCCGTCCTCCGTCCCCGCGTACCTTCCAATAAAGCACCCCGAGCCGGCGCAGCTGCTCCAGGCCAACTGGGCGGCTGGGCTCGGCGCGGTGGGGCCGCCTCGGGTCGTCGGCGGACTCGTCCATGTACCAGGCCTGCACCATGGCCGAGCCGAGGCGCCGCGAGCACCCCCTGCGCGCCGCCGGGCCCCCGTCCCTGACCCTGGCCGACAGCTGCAGGAGGCGGCGGACGAAGAACGGGCGCGAGCTCGGGGAGGGCCCTTATCCCGGGGCAGCCGGGCGGGGCGGGGCCGGAGCGGGCCCGGCTGGGGGAGGGGCGACGGGACAGGGGGCGGCTGCGGCGAGGCGGGAGCCAGAGGTCATGGTGCGCGAGCAAGCTGGTGCAACAACTTACATGTTAGAGAAGGGAAATGAAATGCCACCAGAGAACCCACGCAGCGGGAGTTGAAGTCAGGTCCCCTACCCACAGAGGACCCCAGGGTCACTCAGGGGGGATGTTCAATCCTCGCCTTCCCCCCCCAGCGGTGCAGTCTCAAGCCTGCCCCGCCCTCTATTTGTAAACTGCCCAGCTCCCTTCCCCACAGGAGTGGTTATGTTCTAGGGGGTAAAAACAAGCTTGCCCTTCCCATTCCTTGAATCGATCCTCTGTTGAGCAGATTAGAAAAGAAAAAGTTCATTTTCTCAAAGCAGTCAGCCAGAAAAGATCCAATCATCTCACCATCCGGCATAGCCTCCAACAGGGAACCAGGTCACTCAGAAGCCTGCGGGATTGAACCTAGACCTAGGACACCACATCTCCAGAGTGAACAGCCCACTCTGAACCCTGGGAACCACTGCCCACGAAGCCCAGGTAGATTTTGTGTCCGGTCTGCTGCTGCCGTCCCACATCTGGTGGAGAGCCCACCTCTCCATCTTCCTGTGACCAGCTGCTGCTTGTACCCCGGGGACGCCTTCCACATCACTGCCCACTTCCTCCTGCACTTCAGACAAGACTGCATGGTCTTACCTCTGATGGGGATCCCCCCCCCCCCCGGTAAAGCTTCAGAGTCACCCCTCCCCTCAGCTCTCACAAGGTAACCCAGGACCCCCGAGTTGCTGCACCCAGTCACTTATTTCTGTTCTTGTCTGCCCTTCCTGAAACGCTTCCTTCTCACCTCCCTCTGATGAAGTTCTAGAACATAGATGAGGTTTGGTGGGGTGAGGTCCGGAGCCGATAACCAAGAAGAAATAGAAGAACAGAAGAAATTCATATCTTTCAGATAGGGAGACCTATCTGAAGAAGCCTACTGAGGCCATGCTCCCAGAAAAGTAAAGAAGGTCCATCACCAAATCCCCCTGACGCCTGGGTGGCGTCCCACGCAGGATTTGTCAGAGGTTCCCGTGTGTCAAAGGCGACCAGAGGCGTCCCTCAAGATATCGCTATTGACCACGATCCTGCCTTCCCCGGGAAGACATTCCTGCCGTAAAAGGCCCTGGAGGGATGCGGTGCCCCTACCTTTTCCCCATGGCATCCTAGGCTGCCGATGGGTGCCTGGTGAATGGACCAAAATACTGTGCCGTGCCATGCCATCCTCTGTCCTGAAGACTGCAATACTGTTTTGCCACTTTAACCCATGGAAATACTAGGAAGGTTTTACAAGGGGAAATTACCCAATTTTGTAGCTTTAAGTAGTTTGTAGAAGACACTGACAAGAAACAGTAAAGACTGAAATCCATCATGGTCTATGCGACATTCCAACACATGTGGTCCTTACAGCCAGCTTCCCTAGGAAAGGGTCCCCGGTTGCGTTTTAATTCAATCGGGTACTGGTTTCGGCGGGCTCCCAGTGGAGGTCACCCAGCCAGAAGTGGCTAAACCAGGGATGTGAAGGGGATCACTTTAGATCAATCAGGAGGAAACCTCACATGGGAGTCTTAAGATTGGCAGCCGTCCTGGTGACTTAGGTGGCTGTCCCGTGCCCAAGAGAGACAACTTTATATTAGAACAGGAATAAAGAGAGGGCATCAAGTTTCTGGGTCTTATTACCATTCCGAATCTCACGTGGGGCTGTCAGTCTTTACATCTGGACTCTGAGCTCTGGTGCAAAATTGGTGAGTTCGGTGGGGTGAGGTTTGGAGCTGATGACCAAGAAAGAATTCTTGTGACATCTCTGGTGCAAAATGGTGGTTTCTTAAAGCACGGGGACAGGACCCGTGGGCAGGGAGAGCTGCTGCCCTGCTTTCCTGAGGAGTGGCTGATTATACACACAGGAGTTGGGTCAGTGAGGACAAAAGCAGGTGTTCAGAAGGGCTGTCATAGTAAAGAAGACTGTCAGGATACTGGAGGCCTTGTTATTGTCAAGTCAAGGCTGTTTTTACCTCTAATAAGCACTAGCATGAAGACAGTTGGGAGTTTCCTGGTGGAATGTCACATTCCTCCTATCAGGCGTCCTTGTAATGACCTCTAGGTTTAGAAGAACTTTAACTTTATTCATATTTCCTTTCATCTCAGTCTCCTTCAGTTTTAGGGAGGGGAGGGTGGTGTTAGGGCTTTAGGAACTGCAGTTGTCTGTCTCTGGAAGTTGGGCTGTAGATAAGATAGCTTCCTTGTTGTTAATCACGAGGACATTTGTAAACCGAGGGAGACTCCTGTCTTGCAGGATTGTGATCTCTGCAAGTTAACTATTTGTTTTTCTTTTAGGGCAGCCAGGGGTGCGTGAAGAATGTCACACATATGACTGGGGAGCGGGTGGAGAGGGGGTGCAAGGTGCCAGCTTTTGCTTTGTCCCCAGCCAGCCTCCTGCTCCCTCATCACCTCCAGCTCCCTCTTGGTTCCTCTCCTTGGCATGACCACAGAGTTGTGGAGTGTCCTGTCCTCTCCCCACACACACCCTAGGTGACTTCATGTCGTCCAGGATACGTAGTGACTTCCGCAGCCATCTCCAGCCTGGACCTTTTTGAGACCCGACCCGGTGTCTAAATCAGCATGGCCACATACGTGGTGAATTCGTGTGTCCAACCTGACTCAGCCGAAGCAGAACGCGACTCCCCACACGTCCAGACAGGTCTCCCCAGCCTTTCCCGACCCTGTCAACAGCCGCATCAACCACCCAGTGCCCAGATCCCACAGTCCGGGGGTTTTCTGCTTCCTCTCCCTTAGCCTCAACGTCAGCCAAATCCAGCAACAGCACAAATGCACACACCTCATCCCCGCTCCTACTGCCCTCTTCTCCGGACTGGTAACACTGACTCCTGCAGGCGACCCCCGCTCCCACCTCTGCCCCCCTGCAAGCCCTTCTCTGCACAAAATGGATTTAAAAATACAAATGGGGCACCAGGGTGACTCCGTGTTGGGCGGCCAACTCCATCTCAGCTTGTCTTGATCTCAGGGTCGTGAGTTCAAGCCCTTCATTGGGCTCTACGAGGGTGTGGAGCCTACTAAAAAAAATTTTTTTAATAATAAAAAGTAAATAAAAATACAAACAGGGTCTTGTTACTTGTCTGCTTAACCTCCTTTCTTGACTGACGTGGCTCCTGACCACCTCTCCAGCCCGTCTCCCTCCTGCCTGTTCTCTGCCCTCTGCGCACTCAGCGTCTGAATCTGCCGTCCTCCTCTGCGCGCTTCTGTTCCTATCTTAGATCTCCCTTCCCTGCAGAGGCCTTCTCTGACCCCAGCCCTACACCTCTGGGAGGTCAGCGTGTGTCTTATTAGTCTTCCAAGAACCAGTGCCTCGCTCATCAAAGGCAATAAAAGAAAGTTTGCTGAATGAATGTGGAAAGGATGGGAAGAGAACACGGCACGGAGTTCTCACGTTACTGCAACTGCTCTCCTAACTCAGACCAGATCTCGTGCCCTAGGAAGTAACGGCACTTGTGCTGGGGAATCTCGCAAAGGCTTCATGCCTGCCCAGCCTTCCAAGCAATGTGGGCACGACTTACCACCCACACTTTAAAGACGGGACAATGGGGGCACACACAGCTCGAGTGACTGCTGGCGGTCCGGGGGCCAGGAAGGAGCAAGGCCGGGGTGCAAGGTGGGGACCCAGCCCCAAAGCCTGCAAACGCTACCACTACCACACAGTGTGGGAAGGAGCGAGGCTGCTCTCCTTCGGTCAGGGAATGACGGTTGGAATGGGAACAGGGACAGGGTCTCTAGCGCCTGCCGGGGCAGCGCACAGACAAGCACACTTTACCATCTGGGGGGCCTCCATCTTACTCAGATACTTTTTTTAACTATTGGGGAAGACAGAGGGAGCTGTGTTATGTTGTTTAAGGGGAAAAAAACCCACATACTTTGGAAAAGCAAGACCATTGGGATGTCCTGAGGAACTGTCACCCAGCCCAGCTCTTGCAGCCAGGACCGGTCAGGCAGGCAGACTCCCATCAGAACGGCGCTCATTACAGTCGTGTGACCGTTGCTGGCCCACGGGATTCCTCCTTTGAAGGGAAGTCCTTTGAAATTGAACTACTTCCAGAAGAATAGCCAGCAGCAGTCAAAAAATATGTTTTGCGACCAGAATTTATCACCCTCAGGAGGCAACTTGGGAAGAATCTCTTTGGATGTTCTGAAAGACAGATGGTCCTCCTTGCTGCAGCCCTGGGCGCGGGGGCCGTCATGCATCCCTGCGCTATGCAGTGCTCCCGGTCCAGGGTCCCCCTAGCCAACAGGGCAGGGCAATGGCAGAGCAGAAGGCCAGGAGCCCCAAGACATGGCAACATGAAGGATGTGGATGTACACCTGTACCAGGTGGCAGACATCCTCTGTGAAGGCACCAGGAGGAGCTCTTTCCGGCTTTGCAGGCCAAGAGGCAAAGTTGAGAGAAATAGATCAGTCCTTTGGTAACAACCATTTTAAAGTGTAAAAGCCATTCTTAGTTCACAGAACATACAAAAACAGGCATCAGGCTGGAACCTGCCAACCCCGTTCTATCCCATTAATACTATTAGCATCGCATCCGGCCACCAAGCACTTTATGCCCCCGGCCTGTGGGGACAGCTCTGAACGGGTTTGGGATTGCGCGCTACTAACGAGCTATGGAGTGAGCCTACCATTAGCTCGCCAGCGACGGCCGAAGACATGCGTCTCCTGGGCCAGGCGCGAGGCCCAGCATGGGGCTCCACAGCAGAAGCCGCGGTCACACCTCCCACAGGTTGCCCGGACACCAGTTCCTGCCAGGGATGCGAAGAGACACCCGCGTGGTCCC